AGATCTTTAGACACCGAATGTCATCGGTTTGGAGGTGTAGAGTGTCACAGGCTCAGCTCTTCTCCAAATCACTGGATATCAGCAAGTCAGCAGCACCAAACTGGCTGCTCTGTGCTGGGAAGAGCAGAAAAAGCTCACAGAAAGATTATTATCTCTGACATTTAATTTATTATCTGTTGACAATCATCATAACTGAAAACTAAAGTGCAAAAACATGCTCCAAAGCTCCTGTAAACATGATCTAGTATGAGTGACTTTGAGTTGCACCTCGATGTGACCTCTGTTCAGTGGTCAAGCTGTGGTTTTCACATATTTTACAGATTTGTTACTTAAGAAAAAAAAAACCCTCACAAGACGAGATGCCTCTGCACCACCCTCAGAGGAAACTCATGCTCCCAATAGCTGATTGATACTTTCTGGGGACACGTTGGTCTTGTGATACAATAAAATTCACCACCTGCTTAAAAGAGAACAAGCGTTTAAATAAATAAACTATACAGATCAATGAGCCAACTGTTGATTCAGATTAGCACTATCATAATAACACACTTAATAAAATGTCAGGAGCTTAATGCATGATGTGGAGGACTGAGAATTGTGTTAACCTTTTGACCAGAGTGATAGAGAACATCTCAGCCCCTAATTATTCTATTGAAGCATGCGCTGATACTAAATAAACAAATAAGCAATTAAATAAAACATTATTAATATTGCCCTAAATGATTAAAAGAGTCTGTGTAAACATTTCTTATTAGAAGTTAGTAAAGGAGATGTAAAACTCACCTTCTTCACCCCAGTGGCGATTCTACATCGAATTACTCCCCGGGCGAGGCCCCCTTTGAGCGCCCCCCCCAACCGCCCCCCCCCCCCCACCACCACCACCACCACCACCCCACCTGCATGAACACACGCATGTTTTCTACAAACAGGCATGTTTTATTAGAACGACTATTGAACATTCATTTTTCTAAGTTGCACATATTTACATTATTTACTATGAAGTTGTCAGAATGTAAAGCAATATACATTATTTACAGTATCAAAATATATAGAATCAAATATACAAAAACAAACAATAACTAAATATTAAGAATATATGAACATAATAGATAATAAATATTGTAAATAGCAAAAATATTTCACACATAACAAACTAAAGATAATCACTACAGCATTGCACTTAGAAAACACAAACTAAAATTAAAACCTAACCTTGATGCAACGTCATCAATAATGTCATCACATGAAATCTGCTCCCCTACTGAGTGATTGATACTAATCAGAGCCAGGTTAGTGAGCCGCCCCTGAAACATAGGTGACCTCAGGTATGACTTGATCAAGTTTTGAAAAGCTCCTCTCAGCTTGAGCCACAGTGACTGGCAGAGCAGTCCAAAAGTTGGGGTAGATCTCCAATAGATCTTTATCATGATCCATAATATTTTAGAATTGCCTCTGAAATTGTAATTTAAACTGACATAAAAAATTGTAGACTACCAAAAATGCCAACTTTTACAGAACAAACCATGTAAAAAATAATCAGTGCAGCCATCTGCAATAAATAAACAGTTAGTGGTGACTAGGGAGTTTCCTTCTGCTTGTAGAGTTGTTTTATTTATTATTATGTGAACATGATCAACATGTGTTTGTTGTTGTTCAGGCAGGCCACAGGCTGCAGTGAGCATTTAACAAATCCTAGTTTGAATCAGTAAAAAACGATTCAAGGACTTTTTTCGAACCATTTGAATATTCGTTTCAATATTTCAGCCCTATTAGCTCTGTTAGCAATTAGTTGACCGCATTTAACCGTTAAAATCCCAGTTAACTGGTTCAAAAAATTGAAAACATGCATCATGAGAGCTACATACCTTTATCTTTTTTTTCCCCCTGAATCGAACACCTGGTGGTTTTAGCCTTTTTATGTTCATCTCTTCTGTTTGGCTCTTAACTCAGTAAGTTTCCTTTAGTCAGGACTAAACAATTTGACCTTGATGGGGGGGTGACCACAAAATCGTTTTGTTTTTCCTTTTTTTATTCGGCCATTTCACACAATTCAGAGAAACCTGAAAGAATGATAGGCCTGTGTTTATGATATTATGAATGAAATATGGAAGAAAGTTAAGATGTGATTGACTTTAGCCATGTTAATACAGTTGATTCAGCCCCTGCACGCTCATTTCATTTGGGAAAGACGCAGAGGTGAATTCCCCCGCCGCACCCCTCCCCTTCCTGTTCTTCATAGACACACGGTGCACGTGAACGTTCTCAGTCAGCATGAGCGCCTGCAGCTGCAGGGGGCGCCAACTTGCTGTTTCCAATCCAGACACTGTCATATAACCGATAATAGAAAACCTCGGTGCGGCGCAGATTTCCTTTTTTTTTTTTTTTTACTCAGCGCTTGTGCGCCCCTTTTGTGTCATGAAAAAATGCCGCCCCGGGCAACTGCCCTGTCTGCCCGTGCCTAAAACCGCTACTGCTTCACCCTTTTGTGCTGCCTTGGGTCTCTCCAAACGTGGAAGGAATTGGTCCATCCATTTTCTGTCAGCATTTGTTTTTTCATGTCCCTAAAACAAGCTGTTTTCAAGAGTCCATATTTATGATGTCACAAATGGGGAATTTAGGACAGAACCGTCTCTTACATGCAAGAGACAGCTGCTGTTGGAGGAGCATGCTCTGCTGCAGGCTCCTCTGATATATCGGAGCTTCTCAGCTAATAGCAACCTGAGCAGGAGATGGGTGGGCGTGGCCAAGTGCAGCTTGTTGTTTTTAACCGGATGGTCCAATCTTTGGTTTCAGAATGAGCCATGTTATTGGCCAAGGGATTTAGACAAATACGAGAGAACCACCTCATTATTTATTTTTTCGTTTTTTTAATCGCCAAAATAAATTCATAACTATACATGTTAGAATGTTTTAGGCTATTTTGTTTTCCAAATTTTCTCTAGCAACTTTAACAATGTTCTAACATTGCATTAAAATTGAAAAGAACATTTTGAATTCCCGGTGTAAGAGGGTATAATATGTTGCTTTTAAGCTTATTATACTACCTTTACTTATGACCAATAAGATGTGATATTCTATATAAATATAGGATATCAACCTGATTGATCTTTGAATGTTTAATCAGAAGAATTAGGATTCTTTGCCTTTTCAGTGATCATAAACACACTTCGTATTAATTCAGACAGAGTCAAGAAATGTATTTTCTAAACAAATTAAAAATCATGACCTATAAGCAACTTTATGTGATGGATGAATATAAGTGGATGGAATGTGATGTTTGATGATGGAATGGTGTGTGATGTTTATCAGAACCTTGGATCTAGAAGAAACTCAGGCTTGGTTCTGGGTGTGAAAAGAATTTGTTGTTTGTTATAAGCTGAAGAATTGATTCATCAAAACGGCATCAGACAATTCATGCCGTGCCTATGTACCTATTCCTGGAGACCCTGTTTGGATCTGAGATGTCAAAGAGTCATTGATCCCACTGCACATGGCTCGTAGGAAAACTTCGATGCGACCAAGTCAGTCCTAGGATGCCTCCGGGTCGTGAAAAACAGGGGGACTCGTTTGCGTCTAGAACGGTTGGACTCTTAAGGAGTCGGAACTGTCAGCGTTGTTCTGCAGGAACCGTGTGCTGTGTCAGCTGCAGCGTGCAACAGGTGTGACAGCTTGTCAAGAGATGCGGTGGTTAAAGAGTTTTCCTCTGGTGGCCAGTCCGGAGTTCGGCTCAAAACTAATTGAATTACTCAGCAAGTGATTCTGTTTTAACAATTGCCATATTATGATTACATGGCCAACCAGAATTTGACATGTAAAGGGGTTTTACCAACCAACCTCAGATACACACCTCCCTCAGATACAGTAGCTCTGATTTGTGGATCAGAAAGCAATGTGTCATGAGATTACTTTAGTCATATGTATGAGTGTGTGCTTGTCAAGTCACGTACGTTGATTAAATATATGGGTCATATATTTCATTTCATCCTTATTAATCTAAGCACAGATTAAACAAAACATTTCATTTAACCACATTGTTTATTTCATTATGTGATTAATTAACTCATATGAGCTGAAAGTGTTCACTTTTATTCAGAGGCAGGAGGAATCCTGTAGAAGCGATAAGAGAAAGCTTAAGGCCTTGAAACGGGAACAGTTTTGTTTACAATATGTTATCCATGTGTTCAAAGCTGCAGAGGCCTGAACTTCAGCTGATAAAATAGCAGAATTCAGCAGATTAAAGACACTAGATGTAGACTCATGTCTCCATCTGACTGGATACTGAAGAGGTCAAACTGTGGATGAAAAACTGACCATTTCTGGACGTTACAATGGAAAACAAAAGATTTTTGGATATAGAAAATGCGACTGATTTTTAGCGGTCTCTTGTTTACTGTGGCAATGTGGGTTCTGGTATCAAGGGACTTGGCTTGGGGATGATAGCCAAGGGAGGGGTGAGCACTCCGTGACCATGTTTGTGTTTAAATTCTAGTTTGTTTTAGAGATTTGTTATTGCAGGTTTAAAGTGACAGAGCTCTCAAATGGCTCATTCTGGAAGGTACTGAAAATGTAAAGAATAATAGTAATCACTCCTTGTGAGAGAACATTATAAACCTGTTTTGTATTGACCACAGATCTATTATAACTATAAGTTAAAAAGTAATAATATGTCCCTTTATTGAGTTATTTTCCACTTATAAGGTATTTTTCAAAACTTTATTTAAATGTATTGAAATGTTAACCTCACCCACAAAACGCCTGTTAACTTTAATAGATTTTATTTAGAAGCTTAGACTCACCACTTCATATATCAAGTAATTGAGAAAAAGGGAGATTTTTTTTCCATCCAAAAGAGCTTTGTGACCTTTCTCAGTTTTGTTGTGCACCTTAGAAGGCATCTGGCCTCAGAAAGCCAAGTGTGTGTTCTGATCTAGGATTGGAGTCTGGGGGTGTCAGTCAAGTTCTACTTGGCGCTTTTTGCAGGAGGAGGGGGCTATAAATAAGTTCTGGAGAGGGAAACGCCTTTCTAGGGCACCGCTGATGCTGCAGAGGTGAGGTGGACACTCTCAACAGAACCCAGTAAGATGTCCTACAGACCAGCTCCTCATTCTTCCTACAAAAAGATGTTCGGAGGGGACCGAGCCACGGCCCGGACCAGCTACTCCAGCCGCCAGTTCTCCAGCCCGCTGCGCTCCTCTCGGGTCTCCTACGGGCTCTCCTCCGCTCCGACCACCGTTTACGCAATGAAGACGCAGAGGCTCCGGAGCAGCGCGGCCATGCCACGGCTGGCCTCCGAGAACCTGGACTTCTCCCTGTCCGACGCCATCAACAGCGAGTTCATGACGAACCGCACCAACGAGAAGGCGCAGATGCAGTCGCTCAACGACCGCTTCGCCAACTACATCGAGAAGGTGCGCTTCTTGGAGCAGCAGAACAAGATCCTGCTGGCGGAGCTGGAGCAGCTGCGGGGCAAAGGCACGTCCCGGGTCGGGGATCTCTACGAGGACGAGATGCGGGAGCTGCGGCGTCAGGTGGACCAGCTCACCAACGAGAAGGCCCGGGTGGAGGTCCACCGGGACAATCTGGCGGATGACATAGAGAGGCTGAGAGAGAAGTAGGCGTGGCACATGTGGCCATGATTTCCTTATTGTTATTATTCATTTCTGCAGCTGTTCAGATGAGTAAGAAGTAAAATCAAAGAAGACAAAACTGAAAAGAAGAAGCATGGAAGAAAGCTCCTGCTTATGCTAAATATAAAATAACAGCTTTCTCTGTGTTCTCCCCTCCTGCAGGCTGCAGGATGAAATCTCCCAGAGGGAAGAGGCAGAGGCAAACATGCAAAGTTTTAGACAGGTATGAGATAGAATGATGACTTCAGCTAGCTAAAAAATGTTTCTGTTTTGTTGCAAAATTGCTCAGCTTTAATCAATCAATCAATCAATCAATTAATCAATCAATCAATCAATCAATCAATCAATCAATCAATCAATCAATCAATCAATCAATCAATCAATCAATCAATCTTTATTTATATAGCAACTGCCTTTGCAGGAGGCCAATACGCTGAGCATATAATACACTTAAAACATGAAGTGTAAAAGCAGCATAAAAGCATTAAACCAAGTCACATAAAAGCCAAAGGATACAAATTAGTCTTCAAACGACTCTTAAAATCCTGTAATGATGGTTTAATATCAAATGGAAGCTCATTCCAAAAGAAGGAACCAAGACCAAGAAAGCCCGAACTCCTCTAGATCTGTACCTAGTATTTGGGACTGTCATGTGAGGGAGGAGATGGCAGACAATGTGTGGTGGAGAGTTCAGGAGGCAGGAGAGCAGGCACAGATGAAATAAAAATGGATTTAATAGTAAACGGGAGCGACAGGACAAAACGAGCACATGCACATACAATGATCCGACGAAGACTGGTACAAGGAGGGAGATATAAATACACAGGGAAATCAGGAAGAGCAGAGTAATGAGGGACAGGTGAGAACAATAAGGACTAATCAGGGCAGGAGAAAGACACAGTCAGGAAGGCAGGGGCAGAACATGACAGGGACAGTCAGTAGCGTAGAATTTGTGATGGGGTGTCTTTTTATTAGTTCTGCCAAATATGGTGGAGCATCACCATAAAAAGACCAGAAGATATAGCAGAGAACTTTAAACTTTGCCCGAAAATCTACAGGGAGCCAATGTAATGAGGCCAGCACAGGAGTGATGTGTGCCGACTTCCCTGTCAGAAATCTGGCTACAGAGTTGTGAACCAACTGCCCCCAGCTTCTCATAACTTTGACCCAAAATCCCCAAATCGATGACGCAAACCTCCAACTGTGCAGTGGAGTGCATCCCTTTTCTCTTTTAGGTAATCTGTCTAGTTTTGGCTCATGAGCCACAGAGGCAGGAATGCACCGCTCTGATGACACAACAGCAGGTTCCAGACATGATTCCGAACAGTTAAAGAGTGCCCTGGCCTGGCTGGTACAAAAGGCCAAGTTTGCTCTGCTCGATTGGAGTCTGACTGGTCTGATGTGGTTATCAGAGCGAGAAGACGGGCCACCGCGTGATCCGGCTGTCTCGTTCACATAAGAATTTCTCTTGTTATGGTTCTGTTCCCTGTCACTGGTTTTCCAGTTGATAGGTCATGTGAATAGAGTTATATGGCGGTTACTGTACACAAATAGGTCAAAAACATCACTTTGGTGAATAACTTAAACACATAAATACACATTTTGTTGATTTTATGTTTTTTCGGTGCAGATTTGGGCTTAAATCAGGTTGTTGTATGGCAGGAAGGAATTGCATGAGTGGTCTGCCTCCGTGGCAAACAGACAACAATGTTTGGCCAGCAGCCGGCTCCTGCTCAGTCAGGCAGACAGTCACTCTTCCAGCCTTTGGGCATGTTTTGGAACCCCTGCTGAATGGTCCACATTGTTTGTGGCATTAACACATGGGCAAAGCAGCTTCTGTTGCTGATACCTCAATCAACGGCCTGCCAACGCCCCGATGAAGCTGTGCACTGGCACAACAACAGGTTTGTTTCATTATGGGTTCTGTCTTCCAAAACAAAAGCTTCGTGCTTAATTAAGTGGAGGAATGAAATAATGACTAAACATTCCATCACTGTTGGAATTTTTAATTTCATTCAGAGAAACTAGAAGGAAATTTCACAATAAACATAAATTTAGCTTATAAATGGGCTTAAGGACCTTTTTAATTATGTGGTTTGAATGAGACCCTTTACTGAATAAAAAAATTGGAAAATGGAGTCATTGATGTGTTTTTTAGAATAGTTTAATTTTTTAAATGCATTAATTCAACACATTTTTGATTCACTAGAGATATGAATAATAAAATGCTCACATAAGTACGAACGGCATCCTCTAGCATGTGGCTTTGCAGTCACAACACATGACAACATCCACTCTTTAGTGACACACATCATGTGCCTGCAGTTGATTTGTATTGAATGCATGTGTGTTATCTGCTACACAATGGGACATCTGTGTGTGGGGAAACACTTTAAATGCTCTTTACAGCACATGCAAGTGCATTTCTTTAAAAGTCCCTGCCAGCAAATGCATCATGAATAATTCTTGTCACCTTTACAAGTCGCCTTATTAAGAGTCAATGTCGTGGCACAGGATGTGGACAACGCTGCCCTCGCCAGACTGGACCTGGAGCGGAAGGTCGAGTCACTCCAGGATGAGATTAACTTTCTCAAGAAGCTGCATGATGAGGTAAGCTCTCCCCGTTTTCAGCTGAATCGCTGTGCTGCAGGAATGTTGCATGTGCACTGCAGTTTGTGAAAGACACCTTTATGGAGAAAGCCAAGCCAAATCATTTCAGTTATTTCTTAATCCACTTAAACGCCAATTTAGCTGGATTTCGAGCTTTTCCCAGAGCACAGAGGGACATTAAAACAGACTGTTCTGTTCGCCTCGCTGGTTCTGTTGCAGGAAATGCTGGAGCTGCAGAACCAAGTCCAGCAGCAGCAGCACGTGCAGGTTGACATGGAGGTGGCTAAGCCTGACCTGACGGCGGCTCTGAGGGACGTCCGCCTGCAGTATGAAAACCTGGCCTCCAAAAACATACAGGAGTCGGAGGAATGGTACAAATCCAAGGTGATATTTCAAGAAATGATAGAGTAGAATATTTAGTGCATGGCCATTTATTATTTTTATTTAGTAAAAATGTCTGCATAACAAAAACATCCTCAGCCTCAAAACTACAGCATCATGCATGGTCGCCTTTCATGACAAGATCTTGCAAAATTTCCCCACTTCACCCCTCTCACTGCACTTCCTCTCCTTCAGTCTCTGACTCATCATTTATGGAAGAGTCGAATTGTCAGCCATGTCTCCTTTCCCCTCCGTTTGCAACTATGATTTCTAGTTTGCTGACCTGAACGAAGCTGCAGCCCGGAATAATGAAGCTTTGAAACTAGCCAAGCAGGAGGCCAATGACTACAGGCGCCAAGTTCAAGTCCTCACTTGTGAAGTGGATGCCCTGAAAGGAACTGTGAGTGTGCAGTTTTCGTGCATCTGGGACTGGGAGCAATCAAACTGACAACAAATAGTTAAAAGGAGAAGCAGCATATTCATTCACGTTTGGCTGTGGTGACAGAATGAGTCTTTGGAGCGTCAGATGAGAGAGATGGAGGAGAACTTCTCCTTGGAGACCGGCAGGCACCAGGACACCATCAGCGGCCTGGAGATGGACATTCATAACATGAAGGATGAGATGGCCCGGCACCTTCGAGAGTACCAGGACCTTCTAAATGTAAAGATGGCCTTGGACATCGAGATCGCCACCTACAGGAAGCTGCTGGAGGGAGAAGAGAGCCGGTAAATGAGAATTTGCTTTGAGCCTTCATCTGTTTGTTAGTAACCTGTGGAGTGTGTCTTATTTTTGCAGAATCTCCACACCACTGCCAAACTTCTCCTCTCTAAACCTGAGGGGTAAGACAATGACTTGCATGATGATCCTGTAGGAAGAGTTCTGTTATCAGCTTTCATTCTGAACTAATTTTGTTTTCCTCCTTAGATGCATTGACTGAATCCAAATCTCACGTTGAAGCCACAACAACAAAGAAAGTTGTCATCAAGACCATCGAGACCAGGGATGGTCAGGTACTAAAGATGTGATTTAAAGTCTCTAGCTGAGCTCTCACACGCATCTCTTCTCATGCTCTTCTGTCATTTTGCAGGTGATCAATGAGTCAACCCAGAATCATGAGGACTTGGGGTAGCCACGTCTCGATTTTTTTGCCAAACAGTCAACATGAGCAATACGAAGAAACACATCTGACTGGGTCTGCAAGCAAGAAAGCCACCCAGCAACAACAGCTTGGAAAAGTGCCTTTATATGTGATGATGCAGTTTTGCTTCCTTCTTTCCTGAAAGTATTTTGTCACTTTTTGTCTAGACAAAATGGTGAAACCAGCACAGTATAGCAACCCTAGGAGGTCTTCAGAAGCCTTTCTTTGTAACCAACATAGTATATTTGACTTAAGCATGCACACAAGAATTCTGTAAGATGATGATGATGTCACAATTGCCTGTATGCAGCAATAAACAATGAAGACTGTAACTCAGCTTTGTGTTAAAGTCTAATGTTTGTATTTAACGTAATCAAAATATCTCAGTATTCAATCTGAGCCTTTTCTCTGTTTATTTCCTTTACGTATTTTGGATCCGATGGACCTAAGAGACATGAAAATACTGTTTTGGAATATATAGGGGCTCAAAAGAAATATGCTTTTTTTCTCAAAAGTTTTTCAAACACTGAAAACCTACTTTTTAATGATTATTTCTGATTATAATCAACATGAAAATAGTCTCCTACACCTATCTCCTGCCTTAGCTTCTGATAGTGTCAGGCGTGCTGGGGAGTGAGACGGAGGGGAGGATCCACGCTCGGGTGAAGAAGGAGGCATGCAGGCAGACAGGAACATTAAAACAGGGATTTTAATCGGGAACACGCTGACATAGAAACAGTGATCCAACACGAGACACAGAACTGAAGGGGTTTAAATACAAGAGGGCTGGGAGCTTGGGTGATTGGGAAACGAGAGGCAGGTGGGAGCAATTAACATGGAGACAGGACAGGATGTGACAGATAGAAAATCTATAATTTAAGAGTTTGACAGATCTACATCACAGTAACTAAAAATATAGAATAAATAACATTCTGCCTCCCTAAATAATGAAAACAGGTCTAATTTAAACAGAATAAAATAATATAGCACAAGAAACAATGTCCTCCTTAGGGATCACAGATAAAGACTGCAGATTCAGACATGCTCCGTGTTACTAATCTAATATTTAAAATCAAAAATAAGGACAATAAACAAACTTGTAAGTTAATTGCAGTTGATGCAACAAGAAATGTTGCTCCAGATTTAAAGAAAACAGATATTTTGTCAAAGTGGCGTAATATTTCTGGTCTTAGAGCCAGAAGAGACACCAGGGCAGTGCAGAGACCTGTGAAGGGGCGGGTGCTCAAAGTTAATAAAATTACATTGATAATAGGCTTCAGCTTGAGGAGGCTGGTCCTAGTGCCTGCACCATATCCAGGTATGACAGTTTTGAACGGTAAAATCTGATGAAAGACTGGGAAAAGGGCACTTTGGGCACTCCGGACAAAAAGGGCAGGTGCTCAAGCACCCTCCGCCCCCACCCCTCATACCCATAACCTATAAATCATACAAAGCTCACAGCCCAGATGAGACAACACTCATCTACATGTTGCAATCTTCTTATTGCACGTTATTTATCAATTATATACATTTTCTTCTGTAGAAAATATAAAAACAAACTAAAATCCATTGAATACAGAGCTTTTCAATGACTTGTGCTTAGTTGTTGTTGCAACCATGCATCCTGGTGTGCAGACTGAAGCTTCAGATATTTTAGTACTTCATGAAATGAAGCTAAATAACAGGAAGCAGCTAAATCAGTTGTATTTAAAGAGGCCAGATTCTTTCAGATGTTATTATTTTCTAGGAGTCCCAAGAGGAGAGGTGTGTAAGTAAGGAATGACATTTATGCGTTTCATATCAAGGCACATGACCGTAGGACGAATTGGTTTTTAATTAATTTAAGTTTCGTAAATCAGAATGGATAATTTACCAGTGAGTTTTCAAATCAGACGAATATTAAACTCCATCTGCTGGATATGATCAAACCTAACCTTGAAATAATAACAACAAATGATTCAGCATGAATACGCAACAAAAAGGTACAGACACAATTGGGATGCGAGTGGTTATTTATTTTGAAAATAATGAAAACACATAAATGCATTCGATGTTAAAACACATTTTTCAAAATAAGATAAATAATTAGTATAGGTGGAAAATAAATTTTAATTGGCTCACATTAAAATGAATAAATTAAACCCTTTATTAAGCTATATGAGTCACCTTAATATTTTATTGCGAATTTTATGAGATCTTGATCCTAAAAGCATAACTCATTGTGAGTGGCTCGATTTTACTGCCACCTACCGGTAAAAGATGCAACAGCCTCTTCAAGCCAAACACAAGAGGCTGTGGGGGTTTATATTTAGGTTTTTATTTTATTTTTCTAACTTATTTATTTATCCAAATCTTACATCGAAGCTATTTTAGATGGTTGAATCTACATTTTTGCTGGTAAATAGTTTGCCTCTAAAATAAGTGATGTTGGTTTTATGCTCATTTTAATAATCCTGGAAATTTGAGGGCTAATTAAGGTCGCTTGTTTTCACCTGCGCGTCCCGGGAGAGCGGCGTGTTTGTCGACAGAGCAACTTTGTCCGTGTGACGTGTTTCTGTCGGAGGAGACAAGGAGGGGGGAGACGCAGCGTGTTCCGCTGAAACTCCGACTTTTTCTGCAGTTTCATGGCTTGTTGCCCCACAACTCTACGAACTTTTCTTTCATGGTGAGCAGAAAAAGTGTTTCAACGGTTTTTTTCTTTTTCTTTTGTTTTTAATAAAAATGAAAACTAAACTAGAATCCGCTTCCTCCAAAGGGTTTTAACCTGTCCTTTGTACTTTTGGTGATGGGTTCGGTGACTTCTGCTCTGACTAGGACCAGGAACGCGTTAGTGAAAGTAGGTTCGGAACCCGAGAACCACGACCCGGAGAGGAGTCGGTCCGCTCCGGAGTCGGACCGGCCCAAGAAAAGGGGCGCGCGCTTCAACGTCTCGAGCCAGACGGCTCGGCAGAGTTCCCGCCAGTCGCTCTCCGAGGTGCTGAACAGACAGGAGCCAGACGGAGCAAAGCAAGGGTCGAGGAAAAAACCTGCTGAGGTTCAACAGAATGGTGAGTCAACGGAAACCACAACACTACACAGCACAACACAACAACACAGTACAGCACTACACAACACAGCAAACACAATACAACACTACACAAAACAACACAGCACAACACAAAAGAACACAACACAACACTACACAAAACTACTCAGCACAAAACAACACAAAACAACACAACACTACACAAAACAAAACAACACAAAACAACACTACATAAAACAACACAAAACAACACAGCACTACACTACACTACACCAAACAAAACAACGCTACTTTTCTTTGACAACATTTTACTAAAATCTGTTTACAGCAGCCTAAAAGGACTTTTTTGTATGTTTTCAAACCAAAATGGCTTCAAAAATAAAACATGTAGGACATTTTGGGTTATTGGACACATTTATTTTGTATTGTTTTCTCTGTGTTGCACCTTCTGTGTTCCCAATCCTGATCCTGATCATTTAGGCTATTTAATACTTTATGTTTCCAATGACTCACTTCTTGTATTTTCCAGGTTTAATATCTGTAAAGTTACAAGTCTAAAGTGATTTGGTTAACACTTAACAATAAGCAGTCCTTTTAATAGCATTACGTAGTGCATTATTAAGCAATAACAAACAAATGATTCCTTTATGAATGTTCTAATATTGTTAAATATTAAGTGTCTGCTTAGTAATTTATTACTTGATATTAACATTAATATGAAGCAGTTGTTAATACTTTAATTAATTGTTTATTATTGCTTATTATTGCACTAAGTAACGCTAATAAAGAGGCCCTTATTGTAAAGTGTTACCGTAATTTGTTTAAAAAAGATGAAACACACTGCTGCCGATTATTCTGGTCGTGATCCTGAATACGTAACATTGTTAAGATTTCACTATGTGCCCTTACCACATTGTATTTCTTTTAATCTGGCAGACTTGTTGTTTGATAACAAGTAAGTGCATGATGATGATAAATTAGATTCATAATGTTGAGTCAACTTTAAGCAGACTTAAATTTTCAGTGATGTTGATGCTGTCAATAATCCTCACAGCAGATAAATTAACATGGCACTGCTTATAGCCATTCAAACAGTTTAGTTCTCATTGTTTATTTATAAAATACAGCAGTAAAAGAACACAGAGTCATCAATAGGAATTCAGGATTTTATTGGGTTAAATGCTTGCATGCTAATTTTCATTAAAGGTTTATCCATTACAGATCGGCTGCAGCGCTAACAGGACACATTTTCTGTGTCTCATTAGTGATTTTAATTAAGGTGCTCCTGATTTAATTTGGGCCGTTTTAACAGCCAAGGTTTCTAAAACTGTACCAAACAAGAAGTTTAAAACTCTTGTTAGTAACTGAACCGCTTCTGTTTACATTTTAATCTTTAATCTAAGTCTCACAGAGCATGTTCTTTTTGAATCTGAATAAATGTCTGGTAATAAGCTGTGGACATAGATGCATTTTTGAAATGCATCATAAACAAACTATTTGGGTGGACGTTCTGGTTGCTGTGTTGCTCTGCAGATTGTCTCTGTTCATTTATTTCTCTGTAGATGAAAGCTGCTGGTCATTTCAGAGGATCAGGTGAAATAGCTACTTAATAAAAAGGTGCTGATTGAATGGATGCTGTGCTCTTTGAAGACCAGCCTCAATGCAGCATATCTCCACTACCAAAGCATCTCTTTGATGTTCAATATGTCTCTGAGATTAAAATAAACTGAACTGGCAGTTCCATTAAATCGAACCAATTCACACGTGAAGCTGTTGTTTAGGGACACACTTATAGAATCCACAGATTTAACTGTTTCACTGTAATTAAAGCTGCCAACCCTTTTTATAAAGACGAATCCAAAAACAAACAAATGGATTTCTGTAAACGTTGGAATCTCTATTTATTTTTGAGGGTCATATTTTATCAATGTTTATAATTTAGAAGCTCTTTGTGTTGTTTTTTCATCAAACTTTTATTATTACTACTTTAAAAAAATGATGAAACAAACATCCTAAATGGTGCTGACCTGTATCGTGTCAGCTCTGCTGCCGGTTCATTCTGTTTATCTTCATTTTGCTCCATTACTGCCACCGCAAGCTCCAACTCCCTGCATGTCTGTCCCAGAGGAAAACCCTCTCCCTGGTTGATCCCTCAACTATCATCTGCACTGTGGTGTTTCCATGACCGTATAACAGTGTAGACACTTGTTGAGTTTCCTCCTCGCTCCCTGGTGACGTCTGTGTGTACTGAGGAGCCTCGTCCTGACTCCCAGCCTGACTGCACTCATCTGCTGCCTCCTGATGAATCACA